TTGCTGTCTCAGGCAGCAGTGGCCGCTGGCGAAGCCAGGGCTGGTGTTGACTGCGTCCAGCCAGACCTAAGAGAGAATGAGACAGTAGTGACTGCTGCTTAATTAGGATTGCGAAGCAGGTTCAAGTGTTCCCCAATTGGTGTGTGGGATATTACCCGAGCGGCGTTATTTCTGGTGGCATAGGTTCTGTCGGCCGAGAATGGGGGAAAGGCACATGTTAAAGTGGCGCTTGGGCAGCCGCAACAATCTGGACGCACTTGTGTGTTCGAGTAGAAGTCGGTCAAGTCTCTGCAGGTAAGCGCTGACTGGGAGTATTGTATGACCTTGAATAAGGACGCCGGACAAACCAATGATGGGCGCCGGCTACAACTTCACTCGAAGGGTAGATCCTCAGGGAGCGGTTGTCAAATACATAAAGTATTCGCTCATATTCCATTCAAACTCATAAATGAGGACTGACCGGACGGATGCACGGTACAAACGGATCGTTGTGACGATGGAGATGTCGCGTCGGATCCATGGGCGGTTTCAGAGGACTGAGGACACCCGGGGAGCAACATCCATTCGGGAGACAATGTCGTCCTTACTCTGTCCATTCAGTAGCAGCCTCGCCCCGAGGCATTTAAAGCTGTCTACTTCTTCAAGTTGACGGCCAATAATCCCATGCAATGTTTTCTTCTGGTCAGGGATACAACTCGAGAATCATTTTTTCCCGTCCGGTATGTATGGATAAGCCAACCGACGCAGCGATCTCATTCATTCCTGACACTAGACTGTAGATTGCCAAAGCTTGAGGCTAGTAAGGCGATATCATCGGCGTAATCGACATCAGTCAGCCAGCGCCCGGATACAAGCTCAACACCGTCCACTTCACGTAGATCTTTCCCAAGAATTCAGCCAATGACGTAGTTGAATAGAATGGGCGACGGAACATAGCCCTATTTAACAAACATTCAATCTAAATTGGAAATGCGTTTTCGATTTGAACAGATTACTAAACCAGGGTTGTAATACCGCGGCCTAATCTCAAAATATTTCATACATATTGGCTTTTGAATTAGCTTTCTTCTGACAGGCTGTAAAAAGTCCACTCTGTAAAAAATGGAGACTTAAGTAGTATTCATTTTCCTCATTAATGTTAGATGCTCTTGTAAATTCAAACATGGTTAATAAAAAACACACACGGAAGCAGTTTCTTGCACTTGATTAGTAGAAAAGTATGCCTCCATCGAATTTTACACCTTAAAGGGTTTCTTGCGGTTTTAAAAAACTTTATAAATTGTCGAATAATTGTGAACTCTGCCGGCCGTTACACTTGAATTCAATGTTCCCCAATGACATGCTGTATGCATTTTGTTAAAGGAAATGTACATGTTTCCCTAGGGTACGAGGAAGAACTCACACAGGTCTCATAAAATTTTGCAATGCATGTGGACCATGTTGTTTATTTTATAGGGAAAAGTAATACATTGACGGATACGATGCATTATGAATGACCATTTCATGGTCATAAGATTATTATAATAATAATAAACTTAAAATCGAGAGATACCCTTTCTTAGAGCATAAAGTTTGAAGGCGTAATTTGCTATCAAATGAGTACATGGAAAACTATTTTTGTGCGTCTTTTCCATAAAATGTATTTGGATTTATAAGGGCAGCGAAAACCAGTGAGAATGCATACTAGTTAAGTTGCCACTTTTTAGAGATTATGCTTTTAGCAGGTAGTCAGAAAAGGTTCATGCAAGAGCCTGAAATATTATGAGTTAATCGGTATTGCAATTCTACCTAAGTAATTTGTTCGAATCGAAAACACATTTCAGACCTTCGGTTGGCGTTTCATGAGATAGGGAGTCTACTGTCTTACATCAGATGATTATGCATGCGTACGGAAAAATCACCCAGTAACAGTAAATAATTACTGCAACCAGATGGGAGACAGGTAACGTGCAATACAAAGCCAAGATTAATATGGCCACGAACCGGGCGAGATACCCACTAACAAATTCCATGTATTCTGGGAAAGTTTCCAAACGAAAAGGGTGTAAGCAAGTATCTTCTTTTTGCGCAGTTAATCTTAAGGTGGAACGGCGTCTTGCGCTCGTGGTATACTATTACTGTATACGACATCATGCATTAAACACACCAAGTTCAAATGTGACGGTTCCTATCATAGTTAACTTAATCGACTTTAGTCGTTCACATATCGCGGAAAAGGGTGGGCCGACGTGCGTAAGAGAGGATTTGTCGTTCACTATGCAAATGCAAAGTAAATTATCAAAGACTGATTGCCGGACCCAAAGAAGAGAAACGTAGTTCTTCGTGGAAGCTAATCGGCACTATTAATTTTAACAAACGCTACCTCCCACTTGGTATACGTAAACATTAGACAACAGCAACGCTTTTTATCGACAGAGTTCGCCAGACTAGCTTTAAATAATGCATTTGACCCAATTGGGAAAAAATTGCGCGGCCTCAGTAGGACTCGAACTCAAGACAGCAAGGGCAAGGCTTGAGTATAGCAAACGCTCTAACAACCTAATCTACGAAAACCCGTCGGGAACTGAGTTGAATCACCCATAAAATTATTGGACACGGGAATATGGACCCTCTGTATTGCAAGTGGTCCTGCGCTAAGTGCCAGAAGAGTTAGGGTTATGGTGGATAGGTAACCCCTGGTATCGAGCGCAAGGCCGGTTGTACGGAGGAGTCCTATCACCATGTCCAAAATGAGTCTTAAAAACGAAAATAAGCAATGTTTCGAAATCAGACTATGGAAACGTATTCATAACTGGCAAAAAGCACCAAAAAGTCTAGTCTGTGAAGAAAACGATTAGAGCCTTCGAAAATGCGAACCAAGGAAGGTAATATGCCTCGAATAAAGAAACATACCTTTTGTTATCGGAGTTTCGCAGTTTCCTGGAATCCACGTAAGCACTCACAATTTGATTAGTCTCGGCCTGCGTTATTGCACTGCCCTTTCTGAAAAGAGCAAAAGCGAAGAACGAAAATCAGAAAACGAGTACGCGAAGAATCATTTGTGCAAGGTGTTTAAAATTTATCTTGTGCCACGACTCTGGATATTCGACTTTAAACTGAGTACTTGTTATGCAATAGAGCGACCGCGCTTTTGCATGGCGAACGCCCTAAATGAGGGGACGAAGAAAACTGCAAACTTAACTCCACTGAAAGGAATTTTAACCAGACTCAGCTATTTAAATCTACGGCTTATAAAATTTGGCAGATTACCCTGGTTATACTGCTAGAACAAGGGCAAAATCAAGTGTACTTACCTAGTTAAAAAAAAC